CAATGAATTTATTTTTGCAAATAGGCCATAAAACGGCACTTTTACACGTTAATTTATATGTGAAAAACTAGATGAAGCCGGCATTTCCTATCTGACTACTCTGAGAAGAAATGCCGAAACAAACTCTGAGGTTTATTGTTTATTAGGAGGTGAGTAAACAAAAAATATGTAAATATATTTCCAATCGGGTCTTAGGTAAGTCTTTGTGTAGGTAAAATACATGGTACCTACAAATATTGTTTAAATTTACTTAGTTGATTAGCTAATATCGATGTAGGTAGGTATTTTTACATGCTATTTTAGATAAAAAGACATATGAAGATTGTTTACATTAAGTTCATTATCTAAACCGATAGACCATAGTAGTTTTTCCTGTGTCGTAAGTGTATTTACCTGCAAACGTTGACTCAAAACGAAAGTGCGTGGACATACAAAGAATACGGTAGTTTCCAACTGGTCAAATTCAATACTTTTATCCAAATGTCAAAAACAATACTTTTCTATGAAATTTGTATGAAAAACTGAGCTATGACGTCATAGTAATTTTGCGTCAAATAGCTTACTTATTTCTTAATAATTAGCTACAAAATATCTAAAGCACAGTATACAGAATACAGAATAAAAGTATAGCTATTATAGAAAAATAACTATACTTTTATTCATCGATCGATCGATACCTACACTGAATTTTAGATATTTTTTAGCTAATTTTTAAGAAATAAGTAAACTATTTGACGCAAAAAAAGCTATGACGTTTTTCATAACTCAGTTATTCATTCATAGAAAAGTAGGTATCGTTTTTGACATTTGGATAAAAGTATTGAATTTGACTAGTTGGAAACTCCCGTATTGTTCCTTCTGGGAAGCGAAACAGCTTAGCAGTCTTATAAAAAAACAAAACGCGATCAAGGGTAGGTAATGCCTACATTGTTCAACCGCATCTGTACCTACTATATTTTAATAAGTACTGTGTCTGTACGGTCATCAACTGTAGGTACAATCAGGGGTCAAAAATGCAATTACACTCTACCAATTTTAAAATGACTAAAATTTCTTTGTAGTAAAAGTTCAATGGTTCACAGCCAGTTTATCCAATAATTTAGATTCTATGCTATAAATTAAAGCAGTCCTTAACCATTGACTCTATTCTACGAAGATATTTTGGTCATTTTAAAATTGGTTGAATGCAATTGCATTTTTTACCCCTGACTGTAGGTACCTATGTTTTTTGTTGACACTGCGATCGGCAAGAGCGCGCTTCGCTTTTACCTCATTAAGTACATTGTTGCTACGCACACGGTGCATTGTGCATAAGTCGTTCATACCATAAACTACTAAAGAGAAAGGAATAGTCAATAACGATAAACTAATGTAAGTACCTACCTATCATTATAAAATTAAAACTTAACATCTGTGACAACCGGGCCTGCGGTCGGCGAGTAAGGGCAGCTCGCCGCCCGACCAGAACCAGGCCCGAGGGTACGGCGCGTAGCGTTCCGCGCGCGCCTCAAAGAGCCAATAGACCACCACAGACGGGGCCCTAAACGGCTGATGTTCAGCCGGGGTTGCGGGGTAAGCGCAATGAGGCACCGCGACCTCGGCATAGAGCAGGAGAAGGAACAGGAGGGTTTTTAGTCAGTAAGAGTCTGACACTCCCTCCGGCCTGGCCCTGGGCGGGAGAAGCCATTGGATGATTTTCCCCTCACAATAAAAAAAAAATCTGTGACAACAACTTCGAGTTCTTTTCTCTTCGCACTCAACCAACTAAATACAAATTATCTGCAAGTGTAAGAACCGTACAGAATCTTTAACAAAAAATATCCAATACCTAATAAAAACAAACAACACTCACCGAACAACAAAAGAATAAAAGTTTTTAATTTGAATAAAAACATCGCGTTTTTACTGACTCACAAAATGGCGGACTTAAATCGGAACACAATATTAATAAGTACCTATGTCCTTTATCTACCGTGGGTCGGCGACTACTAAGATATTTGTGCCTATTCAACTCTTATTGTTTCATTATAAGTACCTAAATGTTAAATTAATAAGGTCAGTCTCGTGTTTAAAAATAAAACATGTTTATGGATGTTGGTGTTTTTTAGGGCTCCGTACCTCAAAAGGAAAAAACGGAACCCTTATAGGATCACTTTGTTGTCCGTCCGTCTGTCAAGACCCTTTTTCTCAGGAACGCGTGGAGGTATGAAGCTGAAATAATATATCAATTACTCAGGTCTACTGTCCCTTGAAAAAATCAAACTTCTAAGCCAACGCAATCAAAAGATACAGCCGTTTATGCCGCAAATTTTCGACACTTGCAAGGGAATCAAAACCTACAGGGTTCTTCCCGTGAACTCAGAATCTTGAAATTTGGTACGAAGCAACGTCTTATAGCAAAGATAGAGGAAAAATTACGAAAACTATAAGTTTTTAGTTACATCACATAATATATTTCTTTTTAATAATCTTAAACTTGCTACCCATTTCCTCATAAACGCGTAGAGGTATTAAATTCAAATTCATACCAAATACTCAGGTCTATAATACCTTTAAGCTATAACAAAATCAAACTTCTACGTCAACACAATCAAAAGAAACAGCAATTGAAGCTGCATATTTTGAAACTCGCAAGTACTCGCAAGGGGATCAAAACCTAAAGGGTACTTCCAGTCGACCTAGAATCTTGAAATTTGGCATGAAGCAACGTTTTATAGCACACATAAAGGAAAAATTCCGAAAACCTTAAATTTTTAGACTTGCAGGTTTGTATGGAACCCTCGGTGCGCGAGTCCGACTCGCACCTTGCCGGTTTTTTTTTATAATAACTAACCTTAAAGTTACTGAGTAAATAGCCATTTTTTGAGTGGGGTGTTTTATCAAATCACTTCTTCCGCCGTGTGTGGGGATTATTACACTAAAAAACTCCAGTTCCTTCTTCTGCTCCAGGACGGGTCCACGACACATTTATTGTGATTAACCTGCAACCCCGGCTAACGTTCTATCAACTTCTATCTGCGAGTGCCGTAAGATCTTTTTTTTTTTTTAGTAGTCCAAATTATAATGAGTCCTTGTGAACTTTGGAATACTAAGTATCAATGATCGGTTGGCGCGGTGGCTGGGCAACTGGCTGCCACGTAACGTGTCGCGAGTTCAATTACCGCACGGAACAACTCTTTGTATGATCCACAAATTATTTTTCCGGGTCTGGGTGTCTTGTGTATGTGACATTGTATGTTTGTAAACGCACCCACGACACAGGAGAAGTCCTAGTGTGGAAAGCCACCACAAAGGCCCAAAACCTCGAACAAATCATCAAAACTATTACAACTACTGACTGACTGACTGACTGACTGACTGACTGACTGACTGACTGACTGACTGACTGACTGACTGACTGACTGACTGACTGACTGACTGACTGACAGACAAAAAGACTGTTAAAAGGAGTATAATAAAAAGGAACAAGCGTTAATTATTAATATTTTTTTATTATAATTTCGTGAAAACGGCGGAAGATGCGATGGTTGGATTATTGGATACGAGTGTAGTGCGGGGTGGCAGGGTGCGTGTGGGTGCACTGCCAGCCAATAGCAAGCGGCGCGGGCGCGGGATTGTTATTGTTTTCATTACACGCCAGTAATGTGTGCAATTAACACGTTAATGTTTAGTTTAGTGTAATATTTTAGTGAATTACCAATTTTTTGTGATTTACATATGGAGATGAGTCTTTTAGAGTTAGCTGGACTAAGTCGTGAAATAAATTGTGATGAAGAAAGTTAATTTATTCACCTATAATTTTGAAAATAAAAGCCGCAAAATATTTTTTCTTCATGCCATTTTAGAGTTTATTTATAGCTATTAAATAGTCGCACAATATATGTATAATATAAGCTAGTTTATATTTATTCTTCATACAAATAATTTTAGATGGAATCTGATTTGTATTATTTATGAATGCCCATTTTCTATTTTATTTTCATCGTTAAGTTTTGGCTTAGATATTAATTCAGTTCCCAAAAGAAAAACTTGATGCTAGCAAAATTTAAAATGGAGCTTATAACTGATATATTAATATGCTACCTTTTACTTCTTACGATACTCCTTATTAGCTGCCAACCCATTATAAATGGTACCCATTCTATTATTTTTTTAGAACCTATATTCATTTTACTTAGTCGCTGCATTAAATACATGCCCTTTAAAAATAAACAAACAAAATTTCTTTGGCCACCAATGCCGAACTGAACAGCTGACTACGAATGTTCTAAAATCACAACCCTCAAACATCAAAATATTACATGAGTCTAGCTGTTATTACTGTTGTTCTTAAAACCGAGAAACAAAAAACAGTTTTTATTGGTATTATGTTGTTAAAGCAGCAGCAAAAACTCTTTATGATCGAAAACTATCTAATGACACAGAGACTACCATTTATTTATTTTTTCTAGTATTATTCATAAACACAGATAATAAACAAATATTATTAATAATAAAATACCACACTCTCTACTTTGAATTATACAAACTAACAAAACATGAACCGTTTTAACACAAGAGTAAGTAGATAGGTACCTAAGTACCTAACGTATCATGATTCATTCAGAACCAGAACCGCCTATAACTACCTATTTCACTCGTCTCAATAACTTTATTCATTTTATTTATAAATTCAAACACCTGTTTCGTGAGATAAAAGGAAATAATGATCCATTATAAAGACACATTATGTACCTACCTCGGCTACTAGTAAGTAAAATTATTTTATAGTCTTACCTTTCAGAGTTTCCAGGTAATTTAAAAAAACTTATGTCTGGATGCGTTATTGACGAATTCATGCAACCAAACACAGCACAATATTTCCTATTCGTCATATTAAATAATGTACTCGAGCTTTTGACATTTGGATAAAAGTATTGAATTTGACTAGTTGGAAACTACCGTATTCACTTGAATAAACAATCTAGATAGGTAAGTAGGAAAAAAAACACCAAAAAGACTAAGGATTAAAATAAAAATATTTTATTTTCCAAAAAAAAATAATTTAACATGATCATCATTTACTTATATATTATACTGTATGTAAGTTGGTAATCTTTATGTCACTACATATTATTAAATATAATAACATACTGCTGTGGCGGTGTTTGGAACTAACACCGCGCGCCAAAAACTGTAATATCAAGTAATATCATTAAGAACACAGCTTCCTAAAGCCATAATTAGGCTTAAAATTATTTGGAACTAACAATCCGCCTGTACGGATGTCACATAGCCAATTTCCCTTGTACCAAACATTCATTGTAATCATCGAAAAAACACATTCCTCTATGATCCCAACAATTTTTTTAATAGGAACCTCTTGCGAGATCTGTCTAGCTATTTACTAAGGGAAATTGTGTTTTCTTTCTATATAAATAAGGTCTTAAATAGCTGTCTGTGTGTGAGTAAGGCGCGCAATGTAAATATACTACTTAAAACTAGTGTGTTCACTTGGATTTCGCCGCTTCTTCGGCCTCAAGTCGCTTGCGCATGGATTCGGGCATTTCCGCTGGTGGTGGGCGGGGCATACGGAGCCATACCTGTGGGGAAAACGATTTATAAATCTATGTTCTTGGGTGTAAGGTTGATTTTTGTACGAGGGTGTGATTTCTCATTAGTTTCGTGTCCACATTCGAGTTTCGGTAGGAACAATTGGTTGATTATATAATCATTGATATACTAACATATAATTTTAGAACAAGAATCAAATCTAGACTGTCATATCTGGCACCATTCCAAAACTTAATAATAATAACTGGTTTCGAACCCAATTACAAGGGCACAAATAAATTATATCACTGGAGTCGATTCCAAAAACCCATGAAAATTTCCAAGTCATATTTTAGTCTTGTAAACTTGGGTATTCGTAGCAGAGAAAACTTTCTAATACTAACTATGGTAAAAATACTCAAGTTATAAGCAGGCCCCAATTAACTAAGTGCAAGATAAAGTTTTTTTTTTATTATAAATTATTTTCTTTTCCTTTTTAATGTTACCCCACACTAGGATTTTCTCCAATGTCGTGGGTTTCGTTTACAAACTTACAATTTCACTTGCTAATATTTTTTTTTCGTATTTTAGCGTGATTTGCTATGCTTGACAATTTTCGTCTGCACGGTTGGCGCGTGCCTCGGCCGGGTTCGATTCCCGCACGGAACAACTCTTTGTGTGATACACATATTGTTGTTCCGGGTCTGAGTGTTGTGTATGTGAAATTGATTGTATGTTTGTAAACGCACCCACCCCACGTCCTAGAAAATCCTAGTACCTATGTGGCAATGTTTTAGAAAAAATCGAAACTGGCTACTTAAATATTTCTAAGGATTAAAAAAACAGCGTTGAAATCAAATTTACCTTGACGGCATCATAGATGAACCATTGCAGCGCAGTGAGGGTACCGATCATCACAATCCTGGGGCCGAGACCCTTCCATACTCCACCCCATCCGAGTTTGCCCATAATTCCGCCGACGGTCGCGGTCTTGTCCTGAAAATAAACATAAAATAATGTTAATTCTATATCTTACTATACTTGTGTAAAAGACGAATCTATTTGCAGAAGTAATGTGTGAAATAACGAAGGGGCCATCCATAAAGTATGTCACATGAATTTCATGATTGTTTTGAGTGTGAGTCCCTTCCTCTCCCCCCCCCCCTCCATCCCTTCCAAACCCATATATCCGAAACCCCTATCTCCAATAGTCTGGCAACATACTCTTAACTCCTTTGGCGTTGGAGGCGTCCATGGGCGGCGCTGCTTACCATCAGATCTGTCCGAATCCGTTCGATCGCTTGCCGAACTACCCCACAAAAAATCATTTCGTTAACGCTCGACAATTTTCGAGGCGCCTCGAACGATTACAGTTATACCTTGATAAAGTATTTCTCCCAATTTACAGTAGGTACACAAAAAGATAGATATTCTCACCTGGTTCAGCTTAGATACGACGGTGTCAGCAGGGTGGGAGACGATGGCGCAGAACACACCAGCGATGTAACCAGCGGCAAAGGTAACCACCAACTGCTCGCCCTTCGTGCACTGCTCACGGGGCTTGGGAACGACGTACTGTGGACGAAAAATATCGTAAATATAACGTACTAACTACTCTCACGCGGTTTCACCCGCTGCTATAGATCGTAGTAGCGTGATGTTTTATAGCCTACTAGCGGCCCTCCCCCGCTTCGCTCTGGTCCAACTATCTAACAACACAAGGGTAATTTTTTAAAATTTTCTCCCGTACTATTATAAAAAAAATTTTCATAAGAACCTTCTACTGACTATAAGAGATACAACAAAAAAGAATTGTCTTAATTGGTCCAGGCGTTGTCGAGTTATGCGCTTACCAACACATTTTGCGATTCATTTTTATATAAATATAGATATAGCCTTCCTCGATAAATGGACTAATGAACACAAAAATAGTTGTTCAATTCGATCCAGTAGTTCCGGAGATAACGCGTTCAAACTAACAAACTCTTCAGCTTTATAATATTAATATAATAAATCATAACTATTAAGTCAGTTGCTATGCCCAAGCTTCTCTTGCACTTAGAAACCTGGCAAGTACCAATGTGACCTTGTCCAAGGTATATGTACTTTCTTCTTCTTCTTCTAAGATTATTTAGACACCACTGTATATGGTGAAGGAATATATCACTCGAAAGCCTGAACATACACATATTTTCGAAATTATAAGTTTGAAATCGCCAATCCAACTTGAGGAAGCGTATTGATTTATGCTCAAACCTTCTTTGTGTAAGCAGAGGCTTTTGTTCAGCAGTAGGCACTTATAAAATGATAATGATGACGAGCATATTGACACAAACCGGGAATAAGTCCATACTCCTTGCTACTACTGAGAAATTATCCTTAAAATTTCAAAAATAATTGCTTGTCTCGAGAATTGAACCCGAAATCACTAATTCGACAACATTATAATAGGAACTGTGCCTATTACCATACACATACATTCATCATCATCATCAGCCTGTTGTCGTCCACTGCTGGACATAGGCCTCCCCAATTGGACGCCACTGAGCTCGATGTTCAGCTCTTCTCATCCAACCACTGCCAGCCACCCTGCGGATGTCGTCAGTCCACCTAGCTGGAGGGCACCCTACACTACGTTTGCCTAGACGTACTTTCATGAGAGCTTTATAAATATATAAAATACTTTACCTTGTACAACAATTCCAAGGTCTTCTCGAAGCAGGCGAACTTCATCATGGTGTAAGGAATCTGTCTGCCCCATAGAGGCGCCAGACCCTTGTAGAATGTGCCGTAACCTTCATTCTGGACCATCTTCGGCCAGGCTTCACGGAGGGTGGTGGCAAAGCCAGGCATAGTCTGGATTCTCACCTAAATGTGAAATGTAAATCGCATTAAGTAATATCCCCTCAAAATAACTACTATTGTATATTCAGAAATGGCCTATGCAATACAAATAGAATAATTTGAACTAGTAGTTCCTGATATTAACGCGTTCAAACAAACAAACTATTCTGCTTTATAATATGTATTAGATATAAGCTACTCTCGCGCAGTTTAACTCGCTGCTCGGTTTTATAGTCTATATCACTTCAAAACATTGTAGCTATTTATCAGCAAAAGAATTGTGAAAATCCGACCAGCGATTCCATAGTTTACCCACTACATACAAACTTACAAATTTAACCCCTTCGTAATATTAGTATAGGTAATAATGTAATGAATGTTTTATTTCTTACAAATTAATTATTATTTTTGTATTATATAACTCTCGTCAGAATTAATTGAAAGAAAACAATTTTTTAATCAAAATACATTGTTTTTTTACAGTTTTCCCTATAATAAGCCCTCGGATCTCATAATCTCATAGTCATAGGGCAACTCCGTCACACGACCGTCCACGCTGCGTAAACGCAGGGCGACATCTCCACGTCGCCGACACGATCACACGACGACATCCCTCGAGCGCATTTTTTTCGTCATCGGGCATATTTTTATGTTAATAGAAAACTTATGTACTTTATTGAAATAGAAATAAGGTAGGTTCTTTTTAGTATTTTCTCCTGTCTCATACCAGAATAGACTTGGATAACAGAAGGAATTGTTCCATGCAAGAATTTAAAGCAACCAAATCAAGTGAGAAGTACCGTTTTGCCCCTAATATTCCATTCCACACGGGAAAATTCTTTATGTAATCCACAAATTGTTATTAGCATAAGGACAAACCTCAGTGATTTATTTGTGCTATTGTAACAGAAAATTGTATGTTTTTGTTTTGATAATAAAGGAAAAAAAAAAACAGGAATTTCTATGTGTAAAAAACACATCCATGACACAGGAGAAAATCCTATAGGCTGAAATCGATTCTTTAACTATCAATCTAATGTATAAATTACCTTGGCAGCCTCTAGAGGTGACAGAGCAATGTCAGCGAAGAATTCCGCTGTAGCCGAAGCCGCTAGGTAGACTCCAGTACGATAGGTGTACGCCGTCTCCTCATCCAAAAGACCACTGTATGTGACCTTGAAGACCTCATATAGACCGAATTTGCAAAGACCCTGGGAAAGAAAGAGATAGAATTAGGTACATGTACGTGTGTTGGATAGAGAAGGAAGGTGTAGTTTTTTGCTCATAAACGTTCTCGTCTTCAGTTCTTTTCAGTAGGAACAATTGGATAATTTGTTTTAATCATTGGCTGTTGAGGAAATTGTTGTAAAATTGCTACTTTTTGTCTAGTTAAACATTCATTTTTTGCGTATGCGTACAAGTTTCACTAAAATTTGTTTAGTAATTTCAAAGCTCAGAATATAGAACAAAAAGATGACTTGTTGAGAGGCATCAGTGTTGACACACGTCACTTTATGTTTTTTACTTTCTACTCCTTATTTCTTTTTGTCCCTTAATATTTAAAACTTGTGATTTTGCAGTATGCACATATTGTTACTTTACTATCTAGATCAAAACCTTTAGTTTTTAAGCTAATAATATTTGATTGTAATGTGTTTTGTACATGAAATAAATAAATAAAAAGTGTGTATGTCCGCCACAACTTCCCAAAGCATTCCTGTTCACCAGGATCTCTTTGGACACTTTGGAAAATTCACTAATTTAATGGGTCTCATGTGTATGCTATACTTATTTCCAATAATATGTATGGCAAAAACGCCTTAAAGCTCATTACTTTTGTAAAGTAGGGCTTAACTATTCTATCAAAAAGGTTTTACATTACCTGGAGCGAGTAACCAATGAAGGTGGGTGCCCATCCCTTGGCGAGACCTCTGACACCCTCCTCAGCCACTGAGACCTTGAATCCATTGACTACGTTCTTGTACTTGTCAGGGTCGACCTGGAGACGGCACTTCACCAAATCCAGGGGTACAACAGCTGTGTGAGTGATACCTGGAACAAAGACAAGGGTTCTATTAGATGGGGACTTGTTGGTCACCAACGGAATCACGAGTGCGTTGCCGGCCTTTTAGGGATAAGGGTTTCGGATATTTAAAAATTGGGAAGAGATAGGGGGAGGTGGAAAGATTGGGCCTCCGGTAACCTCACTGACACAGCGAAACAACGCTGTAATTGTTCCACGCCGGTTTCATGTAAGGCCGTGGTATCACTCCGGTAGAGCCGACCCATTCGTACCGACCGAAGCTTGGCTTTCCCACACTTATTTACTATATTGTTGATTGAAAGATATCAAACTCGACTCCTCAGTCGAAACTACTAGGTTATATTCTCAGGAATGACAGTTGATGACAAATCTTCTCAATATTTTTCAGAAGAGAAAAGAATAAGCTTCACTGACGAACAGACTAACAGACAGTTCAATTTTGACATATCATAAGTGGCTGTATGGTTATTATTTTGCATCAAAAAAGAATTACCTCTGGATTAAGAGACAAAACAGGCTCAAAGTATAAGTTCTCATGGCACAATAATTACTGCGGCTTAAGCCTGGAGCTGGAAAAGGAACGGGGTGATTTTTAGTCAGTATGAGTCTGACACTCTTTCTCGCCCCACCCAGGGCGATATATGTAATTTTGACTGCTCGATTGATGCGGTGGCTGGACAACTGTCGGCCGAGAACGTGTCGCGAGTGCAATTCTCGCATGGAACAACTCTTTGTGTGATCCACAAATTGTTGTTCCGGGTCTGGGTGTGATGTGACACAAGAGAAAATACTAAGGAATAGGAATGCTTTTTTTAGAAAAAAGCCAAACTAATATTATAAATGCGAAAGTAACTCTGTCTGTCTGCCTTTTCTTCACGCCTAAACAACTGAACCGATTTCTGTGAATTTTGGTACACACATAATTTGGAACTCTAGACAGGACATAGGATAGTTTTTATACCAAAAAATCTGCAAGAAGTCACTATTCCAAGCGAAGGGAGTCGCGAGCAAAAGCTACATAGTTGAAAATAAAATGTAGTTCTTGTACTTTAAATTATCATTTGAGTCGCTCACGTGACGGCAATCATTCATTTTGATAAAGAACTTTAATCACTGTCTGCGATTACGTAAGAAGGAAAATATGTCACTATTACAAATGGTTTTTATAAATTACTCGCTCAATAGATGGCGCTTAAATAACGATAGTCGTCTGTGCACCACCTTATGATCCATCAGCCTGTAAGTGTCCACTGCTGAGCAAAGGCCTCTTCTCATACGGATGAAACTTGAGCATTAATCACCACGCTTGCTCAAGGCGGATTGGCGATTTCCAACCAGATATGACAAGACCTGGTTTTAATCAATGTATGTATTTCAGGGGTGACTAAATAATCTTAGAAAGTACCTACATATAACTTGGATAAAGTCACACTGTTACTTGTTAGGTTTTAAAGCCTAAGTTAAGTATAAGAAACAGGCGCCCTGAATTGCAGTCCACCACTACATACGATATATAGACCAGGCCGTTTTTTTTATTTGAACTCATCAAAGCTTTAACATACTACTGAAAAAATATACCTTACATTAAATACATATAACGTGTTATGTAATAAAATTCATCATTTCATATTTTTAGCAGGACATCCGTCACTGACTGTGTTGGTTACAAAATTATTATTTATCATAATTTTATCAGATAATCACTAATTACAAGCGCCTAAATTGATAATAATAATTTGTACACTATTGAAATTAAAATGCAGTTATAAAGGTTACGATACAATAATGAAAAATGAATGAATGATTTTTGTGTGTGGGAGAGCCAAGCTTCGGCACGAATGGGTCGGCTCGACCGGAGTGATACCACGGCTTCACAGAAAACCGGCGTGAAACAACCACAGCGTTGTGTTTCGCCGTGTGAGGTTACCGGAGGCCCAATCCTTCCCCTCCCCCGATCCCTTCCAATCCCTAAATCTCCAAAACCGTAATCCCTAAAAGGTCGACAACACAGTCGTAACTCCTCCGTTGCGGGTGTCCATGGGCGGCGCTGATTGCTTACCATCAGGTAATCCGTCTGTTCGTTTGCGACCTAGTACTTAAAAAAAAATAAAATACTGAAAAACAGACACTGGAATCGGATCTCCTGATGATGTTACGTTCCGTATGTGCCTGACCACCACAGATGGGGCATATGTCCAGGCGGGTTGCGGGATTAACCGTAATAATGGACCACAGCTTCGGCCCAGAGCTGGAGAAGGAACGGGTTGCCTCTTAGTCAGTAAGAATCTGATACATCTCGCCTCACCTAAAAGCATGAGGAGTAGGTAATTACATATTTTCCCACTTCCAAAAACAAAACAGTACCTATAAACTGACCCTTTTTTGTCAGGGGAAAATCATTATCGGCCTTATTACAAAACAAGGTTTTACTTTAGTCTAGGACTAAACCATTGAGCCAGTTTTCGTATTTCGAATTGAAGGTAGATGACAATAAGATTCAAAATTCAAAACACGACTCAATGGTTTAAACCTGGACTAAAGATAAACCTTGTTTTGTAATAATGCCGTATATGATTTCTCTCGTCCAGGTTGAGGCGAGAGGGAGTTTCAGACTCTTACTGACTAAAAACCCTACGTTCCTTCTCCTGCTTTAGGCGGAGGAAGCGGTACCTTATTACGCTAGCCCCGCAACCACGACTGAATAAATTGACCCGTGGTTGTGCACAAAGATCATACTTAGCGAGTCCCTGAGAAGCTGGTTTTTTTTACTTATGTAGCCGTTTGAAACAAGGTGCATACTTATAAAACAAAATCCATTTACATAGCAACACTTCCTTGCGTTCAAAATTGGTGTTACGTCACCCAACAATTTTGGGCCAAAGCCAACAAAATTCTAGTACAATTTGATCACGAGACTTTGGACCAATGTTGGATAAAATATTGGTTGCAATCTACCAAGCTGCCGCATTCTATAATGGATGATACATTCTACATCTCACGTGTATGTTATGGCCTTTGACTGATTGATAAGAAACAATCTCCGGGATGGCAAGTATGATTCAGGATTTTCAAATAGACCACTAAAGGCTAAAAATAGGCTTCGACGTTTGTCAGTCTGTCGGTATGTCCTTTAGTGAAGCTATTTGCACGTTCCAGAGTGTAGATTCCGATGGAGAAGAACGAGCAAGAAACTCCATGGTTACTCTTTTCCAATCAGTTTCACAATTCATTTTTGAACATAAAGGGGTAATGCCACCAGAATCAATAAAGTCTATAAATCGGCCAACATAATATAATTAACTAGCATCTGCTCACGGCTTCGCACTCGTAAAAAACAAAGTATCCTGAGATTTTAAAAACACCAGCATTGAAACTATCAATCAGTGAAAGAATTTTTAAAATCCGACCAGTAGTTCCCAAGATTACACTCTACATACAAACTTACAGATTGTACCTTTTATAAGATGGTTAAAACTCGCCGTTAGTCGACACAGTGGCACACAGATAACATATTACACGGAGAAGTGATAAAAATTACGTCATACGCACATTATGAAGTGCTAAAAGATGTCTTATATTATAGTGCAGGCCTGATTATCGTGGTGGCTAGGTTAAGGCATCCAAGGCTTCTCATGTATGCACCATAGTATTATAGACTTAAAGTTCAGTTTTGAATTGGGGTTCTAGAATAAAATTAATCGAATTCATCGTAAAACAGTCATTAGACGTTGTTAGTTTCCACCTATTTTTTGTCATAAACCTACAGACAGATTACCTGATGGTAGGCAATCAGCTACGCCCATGGACGCCAAGAGCGCAGAACATTTTGATTACATTTGGAGATTTTGGGATTGGATCAATTGGGCCTCTGGTAACCTCACTCACATTGCGAAACACAACGCTGTGGTTGTTTCACGCCGGTTTTCTGTGAGGCCGTACGTACACTCCGGTCGAGCCGACCCATTCGTGCCGAAGCATGGCTCTCCCACACTTATTCATTACATTGTTTATTGGAAGATATGAAACTTGAATCCATGATTGGCGTGATGAAGCTGGAACTTTCAGATTACATTTTCAGGAATCACAAAAACCAAAACCTACGATTTTGACCTCTAGTTTAATAGGGAAAACAGGCCAAAGTCATATGTCTGACTCTCTCGTCTCACCCTAGACGAAAGAAAACATTTGATGACTTTCCTCCGTAAAAAATGGTTTTAATATTCATGTACGAAAGTCGACATTCAGAAAGACTCAATCCCGAAATAAATTTTATTGAAGACTTAAAAAAAACAAAAAAATATATTTTATACCCCGTGTTTATACCTGTCAAATCTTGTAAAGCCGTGAAATCAAATCAATCGTTTTTATAATCTGTAAATTTTGGCGCGATTTAAGCACAGATTATAGAATTATCAGCTGTTTATCAAAACTCTACATTATCTGTGGGTTGGGCAAGGAGAAAAGTACGTTATAAATAGATAAATATTTACTTGATAAGCCAATGTTTAGAACTGGAATAAAATAAATAATTCAAGAATATTTTAAGCAGTAGAAGGCAGATACACGCATTATGTTTAGACTGCTAATAATTGGGTATATGACCATCGCATTTCTTTCAATTCTATTGCAAAAGCAATAAAATAAAAATTCCTTTAACGATCTTGACAAATTGGAGTACGTTACCATGACGTCACCATGTACTACATAATACACGTTGTACGCTGTAGGTATGTATATATCCGACATTCATACTACAATGACCCTTGGCTAATAGCCACATACATCCACCTTGACAGCTGTTCTCTATTTAAAGATACAAAACAAAAAATAAACGTAACATTTTAAAAATGGAATTTCGAATGCAACCTCTTTTGTCTACTGACATACTTTTTTTTCAGTGGCGCCACTGTTGGGGTTATTTTATCAGCCAGTAACTGTATCTGAACTGAAAAAAGGCGGAATATGTAGACGATTTTTAACCAGCTTCATTATTTTAGGGCCTATGAGTGCCAGACCGACCCATTCCTTCTCCTAGCAATCCCTGCTAGATATCAGCCTTAGGGGGCCTTAACTATGGGAATCTGAAATCTGAACCAGATCGTCTAATACCATACACCAAGTATCATTCGAGACTTAGTGCTATTATCGAAAACCTAAACAAGACCCTATAATATTACGCCTTAGATTCGAAAATCCTTCTTCGACTGTCTCTTTTTATCCGATTAACCTGTCTGGTGTTTCTTTGTGTTGGAGGTAGGGACATTATTAAGGTCTTTGACTGCCGACAGAAAACTGTTGAAGGCAACATGTTAATTTCCTCTAGCCCTAGGTGGCGCGAGAGCTACCTAATGTCTTTCTTGAGGGGTAAAATCATCGAATAACTTCTTCCAGGTGGAGCTATATGTAGTGTCAGACTCTTACTGACAAAATCCACTCCGAGCCTTCTCCTGCTACATGCCAGCGTACGTACATTACTGAGTAAATTCTTATCTACAACCCCGGGAACCCATCGAGTACTAGAACGCTGTTACCAGTGGGGCAAAAAAGAAAAAGAATCACAAACTTACCGCAAGACAGGATTCCTCCAAGACCGCAAAGAGCGAAGTACTTGGGGGAGGCGAACTCGCAGGAGTCGCCCTGAACCACGGCAGCGGCCGCCATACCGCTGGGCTGGGGGCAGAATGGAACATTTCAGAAATTAATTGTACAATCGGGAAGTCTTTGTCCAGTTGTGGACTTCTTGGGGCTGATATGTGGTGACGATGATGATAATGATGCAGCAATACTGGTAAAAATTACGGAGTTTACGAAGTCGAACTGACGTTCTAGATGAGGCGAGTGTCAAGACTTTTACGGTCTTATTAAAAAAACAAGGTTTTTCTGCCTGGTTTTAAGCCATTGAGCCAGTTTTTTTTTTTTATGAGATAAGTCACCAAACGATCACTCGGTATACCTACCTGATGGTAAGCAATCGGAGTCGCCTATGGCCACCCGTAACACCAAAGGAGTTGGAGAAGGAGGAGGTTGCAGGCCTTTTGGGGATAAGGGTTGCGGATGTTTAATGATTGGGAAGGAATAGGGAGAGGGGGGATTAGGCCTCCGGTAACCTCACTCACACGACGAAACACAATTCTGTGGTTGTTTCCCGCCGATTTTCTGTGAAGCCGTGGTATCATTCCGATCGAGCCGACGCTTGGCTTTCCCACACTTAAAATAATTTCAATAAAAAAGGTGAGAATGAGGTTGAAAATACAAAACCTGACTCAATGGTTTTAACTTAAAGACTCAAGATAAACCTTATTTCTAATAAGGGGTTAGAGTCTGACACTCCACACCCCACCCACAGCGAGAGAAGTAGTTTGAATACATTCTCCCGTCAATAAAAAAGAAAGAAAAAGGCAACATGCCTAATAAATTGACAAGCTATAAATATTCAATAAAATTACATGATACAAAAACTTGAATTGTTTTTTTTTTAAGTGACGTAGGTATACCTTCTTAGTAGTTTTGTGTTGATAACGAAATTGTTATTATGTAGTATTACTTTGCACTATTGTAAAAATAAAAAGGCAATTTGTGTTGGAAGTTAAGTGATCATGCAACTCGTGGCCAAAATAAATGGCTAAATAATAAAGTATAAAGTCTATAATAAAAATCTATTCATCACCTACTGGGTAACTTTGGATGTTGACAAATGTCTGATTTAGCCTTAAAATAGGACGTAATATGTATGTGAATATTTTGATTTTAGTTCGGCAAACGAGCAGACGGATTACCTGATGGTAAGTAATCAGCGCCGCCCATGGACACCCGCAACGGAGGAGTTACGAGTGCGTTGCCGACCTTTTAGGGATTGAGGAGGGATTATGCTAAATAAAAGGGAATTTCTATCAGATTTCTATGAAAAGAAACATTAAAACAACCTCTGAGATTAATTTCTTTTTCAATTAGTACTTCTGAGTAGAAACACAATATAAAAACAAGAGGAGAGGAACGCCGGCATTCGCTTGGGGTTTGATGACTAAAATAACGCTGGAAAACCATACCTACTGCCTTTTACACATAAATTCGCTATCAACTGTCAAAATTGCAGTTCGAAAACCGTCCACAAGTGTAACCAAAGAATCTTTCAATTAGGAAAATTTCGCAAAAAATTTCATTCAGAATTAAAACATTGAAAAAAAGCCATGTTCAACCTTTTTTACAAGCCCTCAGCTCTCATAATCTATTTGATCATTGGGCACCTACAGTCGCATCGGACGTATCGGCCACGTTGCCGTGTTGCCACGGCAAGACGACGCATTAGCGACGCCGACAGACCCGCACGACACAACTGCCCCCCCTCTGGCATGAGTTCTCATCATTGGGCGAGCTCAAAGGTCTATAAATGAACAACAAATCTCCCCCCATCACAGAGAAGAGAAGGAGATTAACACGGCTACTTCTATGTGAGTGAATTTCCAAGTCGGTTGTAAGATGTGTATGAAAATTGGCGCGAAAACTTCGCATGTGTGATACAGGACTATTTGACGTAACATGTTATCTGTCAGTGTCATTATATTCTTTTTTTTTTTTTTTTAAGTACTGGCTAGTGTTAGTTTGAATTCTTTTTTTTGGATTTTATGGCCTGGATACAAGTCCTTTAAGCCAAATTTGAATACTGTGATAAAAGGAATGTTGCCATATAGGTAAATATCTTTTTTTATTACGAGTACATGGCGAAGTGTAAAACATTAAGTTGTGATGGCGAGACGTCAAACATAAAACAATAACGGTCTAAAATACTCGCTTACTATAAAAATAAATTTATTCATGATTACGAATTTAAATTTTTAAAATATTTAAATTTTACAGTTTTTACAATTTTTATAACTAAAAATATCTACTTAGCCGATGTTTGTGAATCATTGCAATTTTCGCAACGTCATTTGCCCCTAATATTCTCAAAAACACGTCTATCCTGGATCACGTGTATCAAATTAATGATCTCTAGAACGTGTATCAGTCTATCAGTTGGGGATAAAGTTTCGCGCATGCGCTCTCAGTATGTTTTCATATTACCGCACATGTAGACCCACTATCTATTTGTTATTATCTTCAGTTCAAGTTCAAGTGCAGAATAATTACTGAAGTTACATTCATTTTATCGCGATATATTGACGAAAAATAAGTCCTTCATAATAACCTGCTGGTTTTGTGTATCAAGAACTTTTTAGACCAAACCTTCCGCAGATTAAAAATTACAGCGGTCCAAATTAATCAAACCTAAAGTTTTGAATCGATTTTTAAGTTTTTAACAAAAATCGCGTAAATATATCTAGAATTTCGAAATCGTTTAATAATTTCGGCCATTAGAGAACACCCACTGATTGCAATGAATTTAATAAATAATTAGCAACGAGGTCTGGAATGTCCTCTACCTATTTGAAATGGTTCATAACAGTATCTGCTTTGTGGATGGTAGTAGTTTCATGTGAAGAGCTGAATAGGGTGCTATATCCAGGAGCAGAAGGTCGAGATTGATGATTATGATAAGGAGATTTACTGACCTGTTCAATGGCCGGTGTGAGGTTTGTCGACTGACACTGGGCGGGTGTCATCGGGCCGCGGAATGGCGAGTTCCGCGCCATATCTACTAGGGACGAGAACATTATTCTGAAACAAAACAAAATTCAAATTAGAAATTCAATACTTTATCTAAATGTCAAAAAAGATACTTGGCTAATGAAATTTGTACTTATATTGAATAGTACTTATTATCAATTAGCTACGTTATTTCTTAAAAAAAAATCATATATACAGTAGAATTGAGAACCATCCTCCTTTTTGGAAGTCGGTTAAAAACCAGGTTGAAAGTATCGAAAACTTTGTGTACTACTACTACATTACACTTACATTACATATTCTATTGTATGGAAACATCAAATTATTATTATTTTTACCAAGAAAAAGAAATGGATAGAGATTTTCTTGAACAACTGGAGCAATAATTGTGTGTAATTGTTAACATTATGCCATACATATTGTTATATCATGCAAGTAATATAATTCTTTTGATAAAAAAATATATGAAAAATCTTGTAAATAGGCCACAATTTTTTGGAACATGGCGTGATGATCCCTACAATAGGTAAAGACCAAAACTATTCTTCTTTGTAGGTAAGTTTACAGATTTATATTAATTGACATAGACAATCAAATTCAAAGTATTAAACTCTTTGCTTGGTGTCCTTCACACTTGTGACCATTCAAACCACCAAAATTTAAAATTAACAAGAGCAAGCATATGGATCCACTCATATTTGGCAATTGGTTATTCATATGGAAGGATATATAGTGTTTGGGATTTGTGGATTAGGGTTGGGCAACAAACAAAAATGCCTAAAAAGACTTAGCAAAGGCTTCCCTCAGCTAAATTTAGCCTAATACCACAGATTAATTAAACTAATACTTTAATATGCTATATAGGCTGTATATTATGTAATTGGCATATAAGTAGCCATAATATGCCTAAGTGCTTTAATGGATGGAAAATATTACTCCACTTAGCTCAAGGATCATAGGATTAATATAAAAGCTTGTGAAGTCTCATCATTATTTTTATTAATGGTTAGTTTCTTCTTATTCTATACTAAAATATATTTGTGTCAGTTTTACATTCATCATCATCTTCCTGCCCTTGTCCCGTTTTATTTGGGGTCGGCACAATATGTTTTTTTCTTCCATTCTGTCCTGTCACTCGTCACACTATCGCTAACTCCTCTGTCTTCCATATCACTTCTCACACAATCCATCCATATTTTCTTTGGTCTCCCCCTGCCTCTCCATCCATCCACATTTATACTGACTTTTTTTGTAACATGCTTTTCATCCCTCCTTTTCACATGGCCATACCAAGACAAACGGTTCCCTTTCAACTTTTCAGTCACTGGCGCCACTTTCAAACTTCCTCTAATATACTCACTTAACCAATCTCGTCACACCACACATCCAGTTTTACATTAAAAAGTAATAAATATCCATAGATTTTCATATTACTAAGTTTTATATCATACTGTTAGAAAATGGTTGTAACACTAGCATAATATCAAAAATGTTATGAAGAAGACAAGCTGAATTATTCTATGCCCAACCTTTAAAACACAAGATCCTTTTAGGGCAGACACAACATAAGACTGGCTTAGTCCCACTTATACAACCTATGTACTAAGTTGCTACAGTTGCCCTGAAAGTAGGTCGATCAATACCTATCATGCTGCAGAGAGGATTGACCTCCATGTAAAATTTTAACTGAAATACCATTAAAAAATGATCATTCATTAAAAAAATTGTTTTATTGTGTCTGTGATGTCATAGACATTACGTATTGTATAGTCTATAAAGAGTAATTAAAAAAATCTAACTATAGACAACTAATGTTGACATTTAGTCTTTTTTTATTTTCCCTCCGAAATTAATTCCTGAATAAGAAATAATTAGGATAAATTACTTTTATAAGTATTTTTTTTAATAAAATTGTTTCATAACTGTTTCACTTGACATAAATATCGCTCGTAGGTAACTTAAGTATTAACATGTTTATCTCATATTATTAATTATTAATAAATACATGGTGCAAAGTGCACAATTTTCCCATTTATTTTATAAAACAGACAGGGAAATAACAGACCTTTAACATCTGACTGATGTCTTAAAACATTCTCCGCTGATGGGCTTCCAAAATTTCCATTCGATATCAAAAAAAAATCATCACGGCTAGAATTACGAAACACCCAAAATCAATGCCATTGTCATTCCTGACAGCGAACAAATGAAGGTTAGGTACGAAATTAAGATTTTCTTGTGTTTAACTATGTAACTAATTAAAAACTGATTGCATTTTTTATAATAATCGAACAACAAAATCACGATAAAATGAAAAAATCATACGTAAGCATAGACTGCAGTAACTTTTTTAAATCAATACCGCTTAGAACCGGGCAAACGTCGGTTTCAGCCTACGAGATTTGGTAAATTTACAATGTTTAATATACTGCATTGTTAATGCGGGTAATTTTCATAACTTTATTAATAAAATTTAGAATATCAAAATAAGATATGGGGCAAGGTCACGTGCAAACATAATTTCATTATCGTTACGTAAGGGAAACACCAAAGAATTATTATCCGGAATTGTCTGTGAAAGTTATATTCGAAGAAATTCTGAAAGAGAAACCCTTCATAAACAACAAGATAATAGTAAAATAATAAGTTTTCTTCACTTACATGTTTTAAATCCGATCGAAACTACTCAACACACCGTGAACACACCACACCGCGCCTGACGCACAGTGCTAAAGGAAACAGATGTGACAATGCCAGCGCCATAACGGATGTTACATAATCACGTGTATTATTTTTGTATTGGCAACACTAATTTGCAAATGTCATTACTGGCAAAAAGATCGGTATCTAAAGTTTTTACTGCCTCGTAAACAAATGTTTGAATTTAATCTTAAATTTAACTTTACTTACTCAAACACAAATAATTTATTATTAAATCCATGCATTTTAGGATTATAAGGTAAAACTTTTCTTACAGGTCACTGGTATTTTATCTTTAAAAAACAATAACAAACCTACTCGCAACACATTGGTGTGTTAAAAATTACGAAAATAAAAATGTTGATGTAACAATCTGAACTTTTACTGAATACTTATTATTTCCAAGCACGTGTTAGGTATTTAAACTTCAAAACTAAACAATATCTAATATTGTTCTGTGCAGTATGTCACTCATAAATACATATTATTCTATATGATGATCATTTAAAAATGATTGAAAATATCAAACGCTTGTTTCCGCCCACGGCTTTGCACGCGCATAAAAATAATGGATCCAGGGATTTTAAAAACAGCAGCGTTCAATAAAGCGACAGCTCAAAGCATCAACAATATAAAGCCAATAGCTCTCAGGAGTATGGTCTATCACTGAAAGAATTTTGGAAATCCGACGGGTAGTTCCAAAGATTACACCCTATATACAAACTTATACATTTTACCTCTTTATAATATTAGTATAGATAAACAGAAAGAACATGCATGTCAAAATGTCCGATCAAACAAACAAAATGTCTACATAACAAAGTTAAAACGTAACAAAATTATGAGTAAAGGAAATCTTAAGAACAAAAGTCATGGTTTAAATTAGTTTTAAAATATTTCATCCATGCCAGGGTATAGAAAGTGTCCATCACCAAAATGTTATGCTAAACCAAGATTGACTTTACGGAGCTTTCCGATCAAACATATACCAAGAACTAGAACTATTTCTTCACGAGATAGTTGCACCAGACGAAACACTTTTCAACCTGAGTCATGTGCCTGCAGCCAAGAACCTCATGGATGCCATGCAAACCGAAAGTGTGCCTTGCGTCAACATTATAAAAAAATACACAACTGTGATCATTTTTGGAAGAACAAACACAATCACGGGCACAGACATTCACACATTCCAAAGTTTTTAAACCAAATAAACCCATATCATTGCACAGAACAGTGTGAACTCGCAGATCCATGGGTTCTAAAAGAATTATGCCCGTCTAAAGAATTATGGGAACGAAGTGGACCCTGCAAAGCACCAGAGTGGCAACAAACAGAATCATACGAACGAACTAGACCATGCAAACCGACAATAATATGGAAACGGCTAGGACCATGTATTCGGATCGAAACACGGGAGCTACAAGGACCGTGTCAACCAACAGGACCATGGATACAGACACAACCCTGCAAACAACCAGAAGCATTGCAAGGAACAGAACCATGTCGACCAAGATTCCCATGTGAAGAAATATCAACTAGCGAAAGAACTAAACCATGCCACCTCATAGGTCAATCCCAAAGGACAGAGCAGTACGGGCTCGGAATTCCGTACGAAAGACAATACGCAAGCCCAGCCACAGATCTATACGGACAAGGAAGTCTAGAGGAACGAGCATTCACAGACAAACGAACCAGACCAGATCTATATCAAGAAGAAACATCGGAACACGAAATGCTGAATGAACCATCATACCCAGTAGATGATATTGAATGCAAAGTATTGGGTAAATGGGGTCGAACGCCACCATGCAACCCGAAACAACTTTGTGAACCTAGATATCCATGTGAACGAACATATGCAAGAGAACAAATAAACACGTGTGTAAGACAAGAACCGTATCCAAATGCAATGACAACAAACCAGGAAGTGGAAATGAGATCAATGGATATTAATATGCCTTACTGTCAGCAGTCACCCGACGATCAAGTTCAGAAATTGATAATCTTCAGACAACCTCAACCACAGTCCAGTGCGCCCTCAGCTTCAAATAAACTGATCATTACCTACAAGTATCCTCCTCCCCAAAATATGCAGCAGAATGCAACAGTGGGGCAACCACCCGACAAAATTTTAGTATACTACAAAAATCCTTGTGAAGGCCGTTGCAAAGATAAATTAAATACTGTTGTGACTCCTACAACAGCTAGAACTCCTATAAGTGCTAGTACACTAAAACCAACAAGCCAAACACAAGCCATAGTTCCTAGGAATGCTAAATGCTCAACAGAAACTTGTAGAAATTATATGAAAAAATACGTTGGCCCTCAATCGACCAAGATACAAAGTGCTAAACTCTCAGAAAAGTCTTCAGGTAAATCTTTGAGTGCTACACCTAACACAGGGGGTCTCAAGAATAAATGCTCTTGTGACGGTCAGGAAAAATTAGATGACAAAAAAACAAAAAAAGGAAAAGTGAAATCCAAAGTTGATTGCAGTTGTTACGCAAAAGAAAAAACAAGTGGACAGCAAGAAAAGAAATTGGTTAAAAAGACTGTGAGGACAAATGAACCAGCGACCGTAGCAGACAACTGTGGAAATGAGTCGTGTGATGTAAATGCTTGTACCTGCCACTTACCACCGGCCTACAATAAACATTTTGATTGTAGTGGAAACATAAGCGGTAATTGCAATTGTAATAAAAACAACCAGTAAAGTAGTTGTATAGAATAATAAATGTAAATAGCTGAATATTTCCCTTATAATTGCATTTTCATTTTACTGAATACAAACTAGTAATAATGACGATCTTTCGTTACAACGCTTTACAAACACTATTCTTGAGTGGTATTTTATATTATAAAGTCGGCGACAATAGCTTGTCTATATGTATGGCATGTATTCATAAACATGAGAAATAGTGACCAGTTAGATTATGTCCTCATGAAAAAGTCATAGTCGTCACGAATGGGCACTATCTTACAGACGGCATTGGACAACGCTCACGTTGTGTGCAAACGTTAGGATGTGTACCAAGGTAAGAGTGAGGCTACCGGAGGCTCATCCTCCTTATCTATCCCTAATGCCTAACGCCCGGTTCCTATAATTGAGAAACGATCCGTTTTAATTACGAATAGTAGTTTTATATACGAATCGTAAGCTAAAACCGTTCCTATAAAAAACGTCTCGTCGTGCAACTTACTGACGGTTTGCAACTAACGGATATCGGTAAGCGAATTGTATGGAGATCTATGGTGTCTGTGGTGTTCCTATAAATATATTAACCGTCAGTAGACGGTCAAGATAACTATTAGTAATGTCATTTGTTCGTAATGCGTATACAATGACGATTCGTTAAATATAGGAACCGGGCATAAACCACCAATCCCTAAACCAAACCCCTAAAACTAAGAAAAGCTGGTAATGTTACGTACGACTAGTGGACTTACTCTCAGGTTTTCTCTGTGTAGAACTATTTCATGAATAACGATTTAGTGTTATTTTTATACAAATTACGCTCTTTTGAAGACTTTTCATGTGGTAACATTGTTATCGAATGTCAAATCTATGCGCTTCATTTTGCAACATGGCGGGAAAAATATTTAAAATAACACAAATAATTCTTCAATAAACTTTATTATAGTACTATTTATATTCCAGACTTGTTTATAGGTGGATAGGTCCATCATTTATTTATATCATAGCATTTTTTTTCTTTACTTTCTTCGATGGCACGATTAATGTTACTTTCTTTTTGTTTACAGTGGGTTTCGTTTCATTTTGAAAACTTACTTGACGAGAATTGCATTCAGTTTTCTGATTACTGAGAACTGTGAAAGAACAAAAATTCTAAAGTCGTTAGGGTAAAGTGGTTATCACCCAAGAAGTACCTATGAAGATATCAATGCCAAGTGGGTACCTGGGTACTTAAATAAAATAAAAATCCTTCAGTATTAGCGACCAATTTCTGTCGTAATTCAAAATGATGCTGATGCTCAATCCCAATCCTTTCCCTCTCCCAATCCCTCCTAAATCCTTAAATCACCAAATACCTAATCCCCAAAAGATCGGCACCGCACTCGTAATTCCTCTGTTGCTGCTGTCCAAGGGCGGCGCTGATTGCTTACCATTAGGTAAACCGTCTGCTCGTTTGCCGACCTATTACATAAAAAAATAATAAATACTCTTTAAAATATACCTGATTTTGGAGCACTACATCTAGACGAGATCCCCTTGCAAGATGATGACAATAGTGAATTTGATTTCTTGACCACTTTTACTAAAAAAAAACACGATTAATGGGTTTATTTGATCATCAGAACTTATGTAGTTACCTACCCAACTGCCACACTGTTTCTAAATCAAGAAAATCTTACTAATATTATAAATGCGAAAGTTACGATGTTTGGAAGTTTGTTACCCAATTACGCCAAAACGGCTGGACACATCTGGGTGAATTTTGGCACAGGCATAGGTTAGGAAGTCCGGAATAAGACATAATTATTATGCTAGCTTTTTATCAACATACCACGCGGGCGGAGCCACGGGCGGAAGCTAGTTTAATTTAAACCACATCGTGACGGCTAGGAGACATTTTTAGGGAATAGGAGGCAAACGACCAGACGGATCACCTGATGGTAAGTTATCAGCGCCACTCATGGACACTTGCAACAGCAGAGGAGCCACAGGCGCGTTGCCGGCCTTTTAAAAAGGAGTACCTACGCACTATCTTGAAGGTTTGAAGGTCGTATCGGTTCGGAAATATCGCCACCGAAAGATCATTCCAAAGTTTTTCTATGTGAAGCGGAAAGTTTCGCGAAAATCGCACAGTTGATAAAAAAAAACGTTTATTTCTATTACAGTAGGCATTTGACATAATTGTTGGAGACCTCCTTTTAGGCAAACATTTGCTTGTGTTAGGAGTTGATGACTACCAACCATCTATATAATGGGGATGGTAATGTTTTCGCGTGAAAACATTACCATCAAATCGAACAATTCCTCGGAACACTCCTCCTACCTTTCGTCCTTGGCAGTGCCTAATAACACAATGACACAGAGACTAATAAAA